ACCGACCTCGCCACGTGTCCTTGGAGGGGGCTGCTTGCCCGCCTCTTGCCTTTGGACTATGGCCCTGCAGGTTAAACTGTTTATTTTCCCTGCAGAAAGGCTTATTCGTGTGATCTGAGTGCCATTCATCTAATAATGTGCAGTCAGATCCAAGCTATCTGGGGATATGTAGAAATGTGTGTTTTATGTACTAAATGTGTCAGTATGTAATTTTATGTCTTTTACTGTCTTTTTGTCTGCCATGTGGGTAATGGAGTTTGGCTCTGTCTTTGGAGATAATTAGATTCCTTCTCCAATTATCTCCAGGGCAGAAGGGAGGAAGCCAGGATGCATTGTGGGGATGTTTTACTTTTACTGTTTGAGCCAGGGGGAACAAAAGATACTTTTACTAACTTTTGAACCCCTGGTCTGATTCATGCCATTTTTTAATATGTTGTTCCCCTGAATGGATTGATTGTGAATATGTATTTTTATGCGAATGTGATGTATATTTTGGGAGTTATGAATGTTGTGTAAAAACTGTATTTTCCCTACCTATGATAATTGTATTTTCCTGTGTGTACAGATAATTAGTTTACAGGTAGAGGGGAGGGCTATGTGTGGGATGTAACTATTGTGTGATTGGTTAATGTACGTTACTGTGTGTGTCCCTCCCCTTCATGGGAGCACCTAATAAAAAGGGCTGCAAGCTAGCAGCCAGAGAGTTCTATTTTTACCCTCAACTTGAGTCCTGTCTCTTATTGGGGGAATCTGCTACAAGGGATTGCTATGCTAGGCATATTCCCTTGCTATAATCACTGAGCTCTTGTAAGAGCTTGTTCCTGCTTCGTTCTGAAGGGAGATAGCTGCAGCCTGCGGTGCTTATGGTGTCTGGTGGTGTGCTTGGAGTCCTCTGGAAGCGCTAGGAGCATCTTTCAACGGAGGTACCCAGTCGGGGTGCCAGGTGATCCGTTACAGTCCGCCTGTGTGGTACTTGGTTCAGTAGGTGGGTTGCAGGAGCTTGTTACACCCTCTCTCCAGCGGCAGCCTAACCCACCAAGGGGAGATGTTGAGCCCCGCAACTGTGCAGATGGGACCGTAGTCTCTGCGCTTACAGCCCAAGGGGTAGAGACGGTCGGTCCTGTTCCCCAGCCCCAGAGCTGTGTACCCAGAGGGGAGACGGTCGGTCTCCCCCTCCCACAACCAGGCTCCAATCAGGCTACTTCGGTGGTAGCGCTGGCACCAGGGCAGAGTACCGCTGGTCTCTGCCCACTCAGCAACCCACCAAGGCAGTCTACCAGCTCCCCACACAGCCGTGGTGAGGCACCTGGACATGGACAAGTTGCTACTTTATCCATTTACTGAACCAAGTGGGAAAAGGGCACAAACAAAGTATTTTAGGGGACAGGGGACACAGTTTTAAAGGGGCATTGTTCTCAAAAGTCACAGTATGTCCCCAGATGGTTCTTAAAGGGCCAGCAGAAGCACAATAAAAATCCATTATGCCCAAATACTGTGTTTAAAGGGCCAAACCTCCGAGGGACCATAATCACATGGCAAGAGGCTGGCAAGTAGTCCTCTCTAGGCACAAGTGGCGATGTTAATTTCGCCACACCAGCTACACCAGTTTTAGCTTGGGAGGAAGAGTAGGGAGTTGGTAATCAGATGCAAAGGGGGTGTCCAAACTAGGTGGAATTAAGGCCTTAGTGGACAAACAAGTTCTGGCTACCATGTGTCTCCATTATTCCTTGGGGATCCAATTAGGCTGTTTTTTTTTTTTTAACAATCTGCTTCCAACTATCAATATACAGAATTTAACCATAAGCCTCAGCATACTATTTATAACAATGTAAACCTGCTGTATTAAACCTGGATCAAAGCTACCACAGAACCACTGGTTACCAGAACAGGCCATTCTCTGCTACACAGGATATTTTAATCTTTTGGGGGACAGTGTTATACCATAATCACAAACAGCAAATCTCTTAGAAAAGTTTTTTTTTTTTTTTTTTAAACATACAAGACAAAAGACCAACAGTTTGTGAATCAGAAGCACCCATGATTTCAACAGAGAGTCTGATTCAAAGCAGTACAAATATACGCACACAGTTTCAACAGTCACACCAATCTCCTTATCACCAGCACCACACGGCGCAGTTACCAGGCCAAAACACACACGCACAGGATGTTCACACGTTTCACAACATTACGACGTCTCACACATGCAAAGCAAAATCAAAACCCACCAAATACTATGCAATTATCAATGCAGTTATAAATCAAATCATACAATTATCTATACAGTTAATCAACATAAACCATCCGATCGCATAACATTTCAACAATTTTGTATCAATGGTCAGTGGTTATGGTACTAAAAATTGTTATGGTGTAATTACAATGTCAGTCAATATTTACAGTATCATGATTATAATGTCAGTAGTTGTGGTATCAGTCAGTGGTTATGGTGTTGTGCGCAATTTAAACACTTTCTACACTTTTTACAAGTCTGCTAAACAACAAAGCTCAAACCTTTTAGCAAAACATACATATTACCAACTATAACATATCTATACAACATTTACATCAATTCACAAATACTATTCTAACTGGGCAGCACCTTGAGAGCTAGCGAACAGAATTTACACCAGAATTCGTCTAGTCTACGCAGTCCAGGCACCACGATCTAGTGAACGGAATATACAAAAGGATTCACTTAGTATGTATAGTTTGAGATCTAGCAAACGGAATATATAACAGGATTCGCTTAGTCTCCAGTTCCAATATCTACGATCTAGTGACCCAATTTACAACAGGATTCCCTTAGTCTAGATAAGATAGCGGTGTATAATGATTGGAATAGTTTACTATGGATGGGTAGGCTTTTAGAAGGGAAAGTCATGTCAATTTTTTGGATTCTTTTCAGCAAGGTCTTGATTTGGTATGATGATAGGAATCCAATTTTGTTAGGGTGTTGTACACAAGATCCAGCGCACTCACCTATACACTAAATAGCAACTTCAATGTTGACAGATTTTATTAGTTTTTTTGGTTTTTTTTAAACGCCTAATTTAGGCTCCAATAGCACCAGCTGCTAAGTAACCGTAGGACCAGAACTTTTATTTTGTTTAGTAGTTTCACTTATGTCTAATTGCACCTCACCTGTATCTGATCAATTAGCTAGCAGGTGTTTGAAAAGAAGGGATCAGCATGCTGCAGAGTGAGGAGGAAAAGCCAGAGGAATGGTGTTTTGCAGTTATACTTTTTGTAAATTGGCAAGTGGGAAAGCCACCCAATTCCAGATAGGGATTTGCTGTATATAGTAAGTGCTCAAGCAAGAGCAAGGAATTTTGTTTGTTTCTTTTTCATTTTTGAAACACCTGTGTGTGTGTGTGTGTGTATGTATGTGTATGTATATATGTGTGTGTGTGTGTGTGTGTGTATTGTGACAAACTTACTTTCCTGTTTGTGTTTGTCCAGGATCTTTTGGCAACCGCACAGCCCTCTAGGGTAAGAAAACCAGGTCAAGACAAAGTCCAGTTTCAAAAAGGCCTCTGGCCTGTTTATTTTCTGTTGTTGTGAAGTAACAGGATACAATCAACAGCAAATCTTCTTACCCCACAAAAACACCTTCTTTCTCCTCCAAAACCCTTCCCTCACTTCACCCTGCTTTAACTGCAGTTATATAGCTGCTCACAGCCCCTACAGGTGAGGCTAATGACGTTGTTAGGCAGTGAGCCAGAACTCTATGGAAAACCTGGGCTGGACTCATGCACAACCACTCTGACAGTGGGTGGAGAATCGGCCCACCCTGCTCTTCCGAATACTCCACCTCAGGGACCCAAATAACAACAGAGGAAAAAACCTACATTTAAACTTAACTTTCCCTGGGGCTGCATGTGCTTACCCACATGTCAGGATAGTGGCTGTGCAAAAGTCTGGGTGCCAGATATACACCCCTGACCACCATCCCCAACACTCTGTTACAATATATCACTGAATAAATCTGAAAAACTGAGCTGGATGTGTCCTGGACTTTCATTACCCTAGAACAGGAGTAGGCAACCTACGGCACTAGTGCCATGCACGGCACTCGAGATGACTTTCCACGGCACTCAAGGCTGCTAGAGCCAAACAGGCTCTGGCCTATCAGGAGTCTCAGTGAAACTTCAGATATCTGTTAATACGAAAAGGTGGTGAAGGAAAATCCTCAATTTATGCATTGCAGAACAGAGATCAGTTCCTCCCAGCACTTGTGAATGGGAATCCACACTGTAGTAGAGCAGCCCTCGACAGCTATTGCAGCTCCTGTCCTTGACCTGTACCTGGCCAGCCTGGTCTCCATTGGACCCCAGGGAAGCCACCCACATTGCTAGATATACACAGAGCTGTAGAATAACTCTCCCCTCATACAAATAATATGAACAGCCCACACACAAACACACACACAATCCCCACTAACGCAACACCACTAACAATCCATATACATGCCACACAATCCCACATGCAATACCCCAAACAGCCCCCACACACTACCAAGCACACAATGTGACATAACCATCCACACACAATTCCACAAGCAGCCCTCATACACAGCCCACATTCATATGTATAATACACGATACCATAAACTACTAATGAACATATACAATATAATAGCTCATATACGCACAAATACAACGATACAAAGCAATTACAGTAAAAACAACACAAGCAGAATACGGCTGCATACACACCTCAATTTAAAAAAAATAGAATCAGCACGCTATGGGACATCACAATCCTATATCGGCACAGTACTGCTAAAAGGTTGCCTACCCCTGCCCTAAAAGGTTGTGGTTACAAGCAGTGGCGGATCCAGAGCCTGATCTCGGGAGGGGCACTTGTAGATTATTTAAAGAAATAATCCAGACACAATAGCCACTACAGCTCAGTGTAGTGGTTATGATGTCAATAGTGCCGGGACCCCCTCCCACAGTAAGTAGTCAAACCGTTTAAGAACAGTTTGACAACTTACCTGAGATCTGCTGGGAAATGGGGCTGTAGTAAGGTATAGGAGCAGTGGTGTGTGTGAGTGGTGCAATGTGTAAGGGGTGCAGTGTGTGTGTGTGTGAAGGTTGTAGTGTGTGAGTGAGGGCAGCAGTGTATGTCAGGGATGCAGTGTATGTGTGTAACAGTTGCAGTGTGTGTGAGTATTGCAGTGTGTGTGTATGGGGGCAGTATGTGTGTATGGGGGAGCAGTGTGTGTATGTGGGGGCAGTGTGTGTATGGGGGGCAGTTTGTGTGTATGGCGGGCAGTGTGTGTGTATAGGGGCAGTGTGTGTGTATGTGGGGGCAGTGTGTGTATGGGGGGCAGTTTGTGTGTATGGCGGGCAGTGTGTGTGTATAGGGGCAGTGTGTGTG